GCCGCGAGATCGACAAATGTTTCTCGTAAAATGTATTAATAATGAAATCCGTTTATCGGAGGTGACTCCAGTGGTTACGAATTTATCTTGTTTGCGTGATCGCGAACGTATTTATGAGCAAAATAAAACGAAGGATCCTTTATATTATTCTCTATGTTATTCTTCTCGTTTTTAACGAGGAAGCGTTACGGGACCAATTACTGAAAACTGTACGTGTTATTAGATTCCTGCACGATGTTTAACGTCGAAAAGTAATCGTGTCGAGCATGACCGAACAATCGAAGGAAATCTCATGACCTTTAGCTTCTATTCAACGTTACTGGTCATTGATACGTTCTTCCGTCGTTATTAATGTAATAACACGATGCATTCGGTTCTTCGGAATCGTTAGGATCTCTTCCAATGACTTCCGAACACTGCACTGATTTTATTTCGATTCGATTTCGAAGAGCGCAAAACGATTTAGAGTTCGATCGATCAATGAAAAGTCTTTGACGGAAACGCACGGTAATCACAAGAAACATGATCTCGAACGGGTGAAATACGAAACGTCACTAGGAATGAATGAGTTTTACCATACGTACGAAACGTACGTTGAAAAATAGGTGTTCCCGCTCAAAACCCTTTTTCCACGTGCCTCCTGCGCGTTCCCGCACAAATCTTCTTTATAATTTAACAAATTGCCGTTCGTCTAACTTGATCCAACAATTTCAAACGTTTACGACATGTTTGCGGCGCGGCGTTAGGCGAGGATAAATCGAAAAACCTGATCTATGCACTGAACGATCTCGTCGAAACCGGCAAAAATCGCGGGTAAACTCGTACCGAATGGACGTTTCTTCTCACGCGAGTCGTTTGTTTCAAGAGTTACGTTTGTTTGGGAAAAAAAGAAACACGCGCACTACACATGCGACACGACAGCGGACCGACGACTGAGCGATAAACTGTTCTTGATTGGCTTAATATAGTCGGACGAGCGCTGTAATTGGCCGCTCCTTGCCGCGCGGGAAATGATTGGTCAATTTAATCCTAGAAGCACGGTGCATTAAGCATTCAACCAGCGTTCAGTACCTATTAACGGTTCGCAAGAGAGGCACTGCCACTGCCACCGCCATCGTTTTCTGTGCTGTGTGACGGTACACCCAGTCACGGTGGTGGTGTACATGCTTCCTTCTTTCTTTATCGTCTTCTGCATACTATGGCCTCCAAATCTCTCCTCCCCTGACTAACCTCGCCATCCTCTCTTTTTTTCTCTCTTGCCATCGTTCCAAATCAATTTACCAATTGAAATCAGTGCCGGACAGTGAAGAATCGCGTCACTGAATGGTCGGCCAACCGACGGGCAATATGCGTCTCCCCTGTGCCTGCCTTCCATCGCTCGTTATCAAACCATTCACCGACTGACCAAATCCTTATTGCCTCGCTTTCGCGCCCCATTTGAATCGCGCGGCTGACGACACAACCGTCCGCTACATTCTCTCTATTGACAGTGCTTTTCAACCGATTCAATAAGCCCGCCGTATCGAGATACGATTCGAAACCGAACTGCGCATGAGCAGAAATGCCAATCTAACGTGGAACGAGATCTCGATACTCGACACTCTATCAGATACGATCACTACTAATATTCGAATATGCCGAAGGAAGTATTTCGAGATATTTCAAGCACAATCGATTATATCGAATCGTTCTGTCAAATTTCATTTTCGCAATTGCGATTGTTACAACGGTTTCTCGGGAAGTACGAGTATATGTCGAATAATTTTATTAATAATAAAGTAGTACAAAGATAAATTAACAGTAACGTTTAAATATATGCCTAAAATTAAAACGAATATTAACATAACATTTTTACGAAATTTAATAAATGTGTTTCTTGAACGATTTTGATTCGACGCCCGTGGTACATCGATTGAGAATCGTGGGTTCGAACGATGAAGCGTCCATGATGCTGATTGATTCAAGGGATGCTCTTCAAATTCAGTGTGTATTGCAAAGAAGTAGAGAAATATGTTCCCAAAGTTGCAAGGATTACCGAGAAGGACCTTCTGATCGGTCAGTACATCTTCGAGTTCTTTTTCAACGCTCTGTGAGTACTAAATTTAATACTAAGACCGTTACCTGACGTATCGAAATATCGAACGAATACAATTGATCCCTTTTGATCGCGCCTTTAAACCACCGTCGTCGTTACGCGTCTGTATGAAAAGTAATCGTGCCGAGGTGAATTACTGGATCATCACCTACGGCACTACTACTTATCAGACAAATCGGCAAATTAAAGTGGATAGACAATTTTTCTTCCGTTCTTCGATCCTTGGCATTTGCTCGCTGACTGCGTTGCACGAAATCCAGACCCGAATTATATATGTCGGAATGGGACTAAAGTTCAAATTTTCCTAGTCATTAGTCATGCGACATTTCTTATCGCTTTTCATGGTTACTTTCCCTTCCGACTTATAACCGAAATCGTGACCTAAGAAACGTACTTGTTCTAAATAAATAAGTCATTCGTTAATAGAGTAGCTGTTCAGTTTACCGATGTTCCGCGAGACACCTGTTGAGAAGATAGTTTAATTTGTGAACGTAGCAACGAGCGCGTTATTTTCCCGCCCATTATTACGGTCACAAATCGAAATATCTTCGTTGATTCGAATTATCTTTCTGTAAATGAAGTAGTTGTACTTTTATATCTTTCGTGTTATAATTACGCACGATGTATTATTTTAAAACTTCTATTATTTTCGAAAATGGATTATAAAAATTTACGAAGTTATATTCTACGTACCTTGACCCGCCGTTATGTCCTTTCAAACATTAAACAGCATCGTTTATCTTAAATCAACCGTAAACAGCATAAACGAAGAATTCAAATAAGTCTATCTGTGAAAATAATTGGTCATCTGGGTGAATCATCGTCGAAGTTTTTCGAAGTTGTCGTTTTTCCATGCGCATGTTTCTCGACCGTCAAACGTCGAGGCTAGAAATTCGTTGAGTAAATAATTGGTCGAAGGGCCGTGAGCTGGTTCGCCCGTGCAAATTGACGAAGAATGACGGTAGTCATACATGTATAGAGAGTTTAATGGAGGAAAAGGACAACTCGCCGATTGTATGCGATCCATGTGCCCCTATGGCACCGAATGCGTTGCGTGCTGCAGCACCAACCGCGCCATAGGAATAGTTCGGTCATTTCGTGATAATCGTCGCACGGAGCCTGCACGGATAGATTCACGCTCAATTTTCTCATGCGGGTCCATTTTACCGATTTAAAACGACCGAAGCCACGCGCCTCGTACGTACCTTTTTATTAGTATACAATCCCTGTGTTACGTGGCCTTTTTCCATCAGCGGCGATCTATTGTGCACCGATTAGAACGGCCACTTTCGATCAGTCTCGTCTGAACGAAACGTCAATCGATTTCCCGTTCTTCATTTTTCTCCTTCAACTCTCAGAATACCCTTGCCATGAGAAATTCACGTTTCTTAAAAACAATATATTATAAATAAACAATCTGTAATATTTAATACAAAGTATGCAAACTTCCTTTCTTGATTATAACGAGCTTTTACAAGTTGAATCTATGATCATATTTAAAGATCATCGCATATGTTATTCGCGAAGAACACACTGGCACTTTCAGTTGTTACAAATAGCACTCACCCGTTGTACGAACGATACCTCGTTTCGTATTTTATTTCGGAAAGGTGTTTTTACTTTTGGTACACGAGTGATCCACGATTTCGTTACTCGTCAACATCTATACGGCAGCGGTTTAAGTCAAAATGAGCATGTCGTTGGAAATCCAGCTCGTAGAATACAGAGGCCACACGTGCACAGGTGTTTTTCGAGATCACGTGTGCCACAGATGCCTTCAGCAACGATGTAGCTGTTCATGTCACAAAGAATATATATTGGACTCATTTTAGGTCTACATAGAAGCTTACGGTTCTCATGCTATTTCGGTTTCGTGGCTCAAATGTAGACTATATTAGTTTAACAATGGCTCTTCCTTGTTATACAAATATTTTGCTAATAACGATCGAGGTAAATGTAAATGTAAACTTCGCTAAAGTTCACGTCTGGAGTGAAATTTAGCGAATTTTCCTTAGATTTCCAAGGAAAATTCATGATTGAACGAGGGAATAGCCCCGGTCGAGCAATTTAGAAGAGTTTATTAAATTGGGTAGAATGCTGTGCGTAGGCCTACGCCGGATACTCGGAGAATGAATCTCATCCAACGAGAGGAAGTTCGAATTAACTCGAGCCACTGCCAAGGGGGTACGACCGAACCCCGTATACCATAAACTCTTGTCCCATTTATTCTTTGCACATTTGTGCGTCACGTATATACAAGAATCGATCTAACATCGGTTCAGTTTTTTCGACATTCTCCGATTTAAACTCAAATGCAATTTAAATGCATTGGGTCCTTTAAAAAAATTATAACGAAATTCAATAATTATTTCAATAATTGTTCCAAGATTTTTGTACCATTTGCTCTTCTCTAATGAAAAACGTCATTCGACTCCTAAATAATTAGAATCCATATGTGTATTCTAATTATTTCAGATATTACACACGATACTTTGAGCGCTTTACTATTCTAATGGTACGTGACTCAACAAACGTATTGTGATTTGCATGAAAATTTTTATTCAAGACCATGGCAATTATTCAAGAACAGAAATAATACAATCGACCAAATTTGGCGAGATAATGGCGTTCGAAAGTACAGAATGTAGAAGAGAATTAAGACGTATTAGAATCATTTGACCCTGCTTCTTTATAGCTTACTAAGAGTTTGATGAGTTTATTTTATCCAAGATAGGTGGGGAGGGCAAAGGAAAGGAGACGAAAGATCGCATCGATGAAGAAGGAAGGACAGGAAAGTATGTCGTTTATCGTGTTACTTGAGTTGGTAGTACTTTGACACTGTGGTTCAGCCCTATAGTGTTCGATCTACGTGGGCGATCATGCGAATCAACGATTAGTCTAGAGATAGATTTCGTAGAAAATTTATTTATGGAATGTACAATATCGATAACGAAATATTCGCACGATAAAACCTAGAAGAATGTACAGGATAATCTATATCGTAGATTACAATAATATTTCAATTAATATTCAATAAATACCTTTAATCTTTACACGTAATAATACTAAAGACTGTACAACATATAAATATAATATTACTACGTCATTCGCATATTTAACATTGATAATGGTTCGCTATTCGCCCTTTCGCAAATAATATCCACGACGCTCGGCTCCATTAAAACTGGTTCTAAACATCTATGTACAGCGCTTCCAAGTATTTCATCCAGTAAAAAATGAACAACGCTGCGAACAAAATTTCGTGTTAGATTCTAATTTCAAAAAATATTTGTATAAACTTACTTTTCGTCCGAGACGAATCTCCATAAATACAGCTGCAAGTAATGGGTGTCGACCTGAATTTGTTGCAAACCGTATTTGCTGAATGTTCTTAATCTGACGCATTCCAAAAAAGTCTATGAACAAAGAAAACGAATCTTTATTGTTAGTTTCGAGCCAAGTGTTGATTCTTGATAGTGATAAATGAACCAAGTATGTTGCGTAGTATGCAGTGGACGAAGAATAAAGGTATCTTCACGATGCAAAGTGGATAATGACTGTGCTATTTTATCATTGTAACTGCTCGAACAGCACCTGTTTCTATTACGGTACCGTATCTGCTAAAAGTATTTTACCTTTAAACTGATCTTGATGATCCCGGTTAAAATAGAGGCTTTGTTAAATTGAACCGACGAAAATATCTCTATACGTTCGGAAAATAGTTTGTGGATATTCGTCATCAAGGAAGAATCAATATGACTGGGCGTGTACGATGACCAGTTGGATCTGTAGTGATGTCTCGAGACACTCACGCTAAAACAAACAAAAAGTTTACCGAAACTATTACTCACTGCGTAAAGATAATTCGTACCTATGCGTTTTCCTACTGCTATCGCTGCTTCTGTCAACCTGCCCGTCCGAATCGTCGTACAAAGCAGCGACTTGCGTGTCAATTTTTGTTATATCTTCTACGACCCTCTTCATCACGGATCTGACTGTTCTTGGTTCGATCGTGTGTAACCAATCCCTTGTCTCCACCGATATTCTTAACATTTGTGATACCGCCAAACCTTGAATACGTACATAATGATTCAGTAGATTTTGTGCTGCTTCTTGAAACTTCTCGCATATCTCTGAGTCAGTGGTTACGTTCCCAGCCGATGTATATTGATCAATGTTAAATAAATCATTGGTGGTAGTAAGCTGTAATTAAACAATTTAAAAATATATATTTCATTCAAGTATATACCTTTTGAATTCTGTACTCGAAAGGTTAAGATATTTATCTTACCAAATATTTGACATTATTCTCCTTGTATTCGATACACATTTTGCTTAATAACAGCAGTAGAGTAGGTGGAAATTTTGGAATGTCGGATCCAGAACAGAATCCACTCGCGGTAGCCATTAAATGATGTAGAAATCCAACCACTAGACCTTCTCTAACTTCATCCACGCAAAAGTTTTGTAGAAATTGTGTTTTTAAGTTAAACGATAAGTCGGGTTGCAAGAATACCTGAAGTAATATTTGGTGTTAAATGATTAAGATTTTAAGTGAAAACGTTAAGGATAATGAACGAACCAATAGGTCTTGTAAAATTCCTTTAACTTTCTCGATAGTAGGCATGATAAGTAACGCCTGAAGTTCGGCTAAACTTCCATCTTCATCTTGAGAAACTTTAGTCGCTAATATTTGTCTTACTTTAACGAGTGCTTCGTTTAGATGAGACTTTAAATTATCCAAGTGATTGCGACATTGTTTTCTACCCGCGGTAACAACAATGTCCGTACCTATTCTAGTAAATAAGAATATGAATTTTAGCGTATGTCCACCAATTTGTTAATTTCGTTGAAAAGTGTTATTACCTTGCAAAGTCTGTTTCTTTGCACAGCATGTTCATAGCCTGCAGCCTTCTGTGAAATTTATCCAATGCTCGCACTAATACTGCTGTATCAGCTACATTTTCTACTCTTTTCCCAACAAGATCAAAATACTTTTTCATATTTCTCATAATAAAACTGTTTAAACGTGCAATGGCTTTTGTGTCAAAATCGTCCGTGAACTGGTTATCTTCTGTTGGAGGTCTATTTATGAACATATCGTTGTAAGATGCAACAATAAGGCATAAATCACTAAGAAATCCAGAACTGGCCATATCCACAAATTCTATAATATCATTTTCACACATATCTTTCAGTATGTCTAACTGTTCTGTTAGTCTTCCATCTGCATGGGTTAAAAATTCTGCGCATAAAGAATCGGCTGGTTCCTTTAATTGCAGTAAAAGATCTACATTTTCAGCTAAAGATTTAGTTGATGCATCTCGCTTGTGAAACTGCATCCTGAGCCTTGATTTCAGTTCCTCCAAAATATCTTCACAATCCTTTTGTATTCCTTGAAAGGAAGGCATATTGCCATATTGATTTAATACTCTTTGTGCATGAATGTAATCCTGCACTGCCTAATAAAAGTTAGAAACAGATAAGTACCTTATACATCTATGATTTACTGTATGAATTAAATTAAACATTTAAATTAATAATACAAAATGTACAATAACCTGTCTATAATTTTCTTCGTTCATTTTATCTTTCAGATTGCTAGGCAGTTTGAAGAGAAATTGCAGCTTTTTCAAGAGAGCATGAACCGAAGATAACTTGGAAATTTGTTGTCTTGTTCCTTGCAATGTTGATGAAATTTGCTCCGAGAAAGAAGTAATACTATCCATATTTTTTGCCAACAGATCCATACTTTCCTCCATTTCTTTAAAATCAGTCTTCATCTGAATGGCAAATAAATTTTTATATGTGTTGTAAAATTATAATAAATTAATTACTATGCTTGTATAAATTTAACTGACCTTTCTAATTGTATCCGTGGCAGATATAAACTTATTGTAATTTTCATACACTAATGTTTGCATGTCAGAATGCAATGTTTGAGTATTTTTTATAATTTCTGTTTTATGATCCATAATCTGTTTCAGTGTACATTCCTGTAAAAGATATAACATTGTCTTCTGCAGTCAAGTATTACAGAATATTATAAAAATAGAAGAGTAAACTTACTTTTAATAATTTTTGAAAATACATGTCAGGATTAAAATGTTGTCCATTGATATCGTACGGATTATTAGAATTTTCTGCCATTTCTTGTACCTTTCTATTGCAATTAAACTATTTTGACAGCAAAAGATTTTTTTTTAGAATAGTAGGTTAGTGTACTGCCAAGTTGAGAATATAAAAGACGCTGTAAAAGTACAGTAACATAACCTTTCACGAACTTTCAGAAAAATGCAACAAGTGTAACAAAAGTGTAAAGAAAGTGACTTTTTAACTTTTGCTTATAAAGATACAGTGTCTTAAAGTAAATGTTGATTTGTTAAACTTTCTTAATATTACTGCACTTCATGAAAACCCTTAACATATAAGATTTATGCAGAATCGAAAAAAGAATGAAGGGGTTATTGTACCTTATCGTTGAATCTTATTATTCAAACATCATAAAGTTACATCGCATACAGAAAGATTATGAAAAAATAATTTAACTCCAATTATCTAAAAACTGCATTGAATAATACAAGCAGAAAAGAACCTCTGATTTGAAATTAAGGTTTTCTAGAAAATTATATGGCCACAATATGAGATGGTTTATTTGACGAAAGTATAGAAATAGAAATTAAGTAAAAAAAATGCCACATCCGTGTGTCGTATGTGGACGTTCGCGTATGAATCCAAATAACAGAGAAGAAGAATATATGTTTTTTGGATTTCCCGTTAATGACGAACCTCGATGCAGAAAGTGGCTTGAATTTTGTTGTCGCGAAGATTTATATAAACTTACGAAAAAACAATTACTTCAACGAATGGTTTGTTCGAAGCATTTCGAACAAAAAGATTTTGTAAACGAATATCTCGATAGATTAAATTGTACCGCAGTACCTTCTATTTATGATCCTACACAAAGTTTATATAACATAACCTGTGTATTATGCGGTTGTTCTCGTCGAGATCCTCCAGCTTCGGATTATAATGGTATAACTTTCCATCATTTTCCTGGCGAAGAATTTCGATGTCTAAAATGGCTCGACTTTGTTGGTGTAGATTCATATTACAGATTGACAAGAAAAGAAATTTTATTTTGTTATATTTGTTCAAAACATTTTGACCGTACCCAATTTATGCCTGGATATAAAAGCAGACTGGTAGACAATGCTGTTCCTAATATTCGTGATCCCGATGAATTGGATGAATCTGAGCAATATGTTATGGAATTTGTGTCCGAAACAAAATTATATAACTCACCAGAGAAACACAAGAAATTAGACCCTTTACCAGCTGCGGTGTTGGAAAGTCAAGCTTGCGCTGCTTGTGGTAGATCAAGATCTGATCCAAGAAACAAAATAGAGAGATACAAATTCCATCCATTTCCTGCATATGAAATTGGAAGATGTTTGAGATGGTGTCAGTTTTTAGGTAGAGAGGATTTATTGAAAATGTCTCCGAATCAAATAAGAAAATTAGTACTGTGTTCAAAACATTTTCAAACAGGACAAAACTTTCATAAAATAGGACCATGTGATGCAGTTCCAACTATAAAGGATATATCACAGTTGAATTCCTCTAATTCAACAGAGCAGATGGAAGAGGAACAAGATGCATCTGAGGAATCTAACTGTACTAATTCTAATAAAGGGATTAAGAAACAAGGTTTCTCGAGACCCCTAGTATCTAGTAAAAAACCAAAGGTAGATAATAAGCCTACTCCTCTTGCAAAAAAGCGTGGGAAATCTAAAAGGCCAACGCTTATTAACATTCCAAGGCCAGATCCTAATAATATTGAAAATCGTGTGATAAGAAAATTACCACTTCCTCCTACTTCGAATTGGAAAATCCAATTTACAGATCAGCTCCAACCCATAACAATAGCAAATAATATTACATCAAATATTACAAATAATATTCAAGGTAACATAAAGAAAGTGATCTTACCATTTACTGGTGACATATCAAACTTAGGTGCTCCTATTCCAGTACATAGTTTATCTAGCATTCCTCCAGGTTTATTAATTAAGATAGATCTTCCTGATCAAGAACAACAAAAGACAGGGAAAGTTAACAAGAAGCAAACTAGAACTAAAATTACACATACTTCTACTAATTCTAATGAAGTTGAGTCAAAGCAACAAATATGGATGAAAAATAGTCCAACATCTGTTACGTTACCAGTAATAAAACAGATCAAACAAGATACAGATAAAAATTTTGTTGAGTTTCTGCCAATGTCTCCAGAAGAGACAGAGAATAAAATGATTTCTGAAGAATTAGAAGTACACGAAGAAGTCATTTTACCACATACATTAGAAGTGTTGGATGAAGAAGAAGAGGAAGAAGCGGAGGTAGAAGAAGAAGAGGAGGAAGAAAATGTAAAAGAAACTCAATTTTATGGTGAATTTGAAGAAGTAGAATGTTTGTCCCCAAAGGAAGAAAAACCTGTACTACGTAAAAAAGTTTCAGGGACAATGCGTAGAACAATTTTTCCAATTAGAAGTGAAGTTAAATATTTTTTACGTAAACTTGCACCTCATATGCATAGACTTCCTAGAAAAGCTAGAGCACAGATAAAACTTTCAATCGTTAATATGGTCATTGATCATTTGTAAATGTACTGAGATGCAAATAAACAATAAATTTTTAAGAGTATATAGTTATACATAAATACTACGGATTTATGCACACTATATAAGTATTTGTATATTGGAAGTGACCAGGTATATACTCTATAAACAGTGATAATTAAGATATATTATTTTTATTATATATTTATAATATGAGGGTGATAGGCATGATAATAATAATAATAGGCTAAAGTAACAACAAATTTTGTGGAGTACAAATACAAATTCTTTGATGATTTTTACATCATTTGTTTGTGTGGTTATTGAGATACATACATTTTTAAATGAAAGAAATATTACAGTGTTACAGAAATTTATGAATACTTTATAATTTATTTTGTAACTTAATTAAAAAGATGTTATGTCTGGAACTTTGAATAGAAGAGTTCTAATTTGATTATGCATAATTATGTAACATATTTCTACTCACAAGTATGTACATATATACACAGAATTACAACTATTATGTTGCAAAAGATAAGTGTAAAAAAATTTATCATGTACCGAATTTTTTCGAAAAAAAAATTGACATATAAGATAGTATTAATTTAAGCATATATTCTTTGTTAATTTGGATATTTTTTGTAGATACATATATTTGTTTAATATATTTTGAACGTGTAAATAGCTGTGATAACTTATTTACTACATAAGATCAAGGTTGTAGTTTAATGAGTCTTAATGGTATTAAGTCTGGTTCTGTAGGTATCCATATTTGGTCTACATTTTGAGCATTAACATCTAATGTTTCTTTAGAATAATCAAGTAAGGGTTTCGAAAACTCTTCATTTAATTTTACACGATTTCTTACCCATAAAACCTTTGCTGAAGAAACTGGTTCTAATATAAAGCAGTTAGTTTAAAATAGTGTTTCATAATTAATCTTATTAATGAATATAATTGTACTTTTGCTCACCTATATTCATCTTGGGCAATGAATAGTGTCGCGAACCAATGCTATAAAACATAAATTTATTTAGTATTTCTTGATATTCTCTACATCTGCACAATATACCAAGCGGATGTTCTAAACAATCATTAGTTTTTGAATACATAATTTGTTATGGAACATAAGTACTCATAATTTTATAGCTGATTATTTATCAAAGTATTGAAGTTAGCAACATTTAAACCTAATTAATTTTACACAGTAATGTAAATGTATACAACGTATAAAATATTAATTTGAATGATCGTACGCGTTTTCGTATTATTGCAGTTTAAATAGAAGGTATAAACAGGAAATGCACAAACGATAACAATCAAAATTAATATTTATGTATAATACATATACACGATGTTACAGTTGCAATTAATTTAAGTAATAGGTGTTTAAACATAATATACTTAAGAAGCCAGCTTCCCTGTACATATGACTTTAGTATCTTATACAGGTTATAAAAGCTGGATATAAAATCTATATTAAGAGAATAAAAATGTTTTTTCTCTTTTTTTTAGTAATACTTAATCCTTTTTCTGGTTATTCAGTATAAAAGCATTATTTAAATATTTCAAATTATAGTGTCTATTTTCGCTAGGCATTCATTCCACAGTGTTTGTACGTTTTATATGCATACGCTTAATAAGTGCAAGCAGATTTTAACACAAAATCAACATAGATAAATTATTTACATATTACACCTAACTACGAAGACTTTGAAGTCTCATTTTCATTTCTTCAAGTTCTTTATCATCTGCTTCTTCTCCTTTTTCTTCAGTGGACGTAGATGCTGCAACAGACCCTGGAGTGTCTGTAACAACTGCAGGTGCTGTACCTAATTGACCTGCTGTAACTTCCCATAAAATCTGTAACAAATATCATGTAAGATCAAATGTAAGATCAAAGTTTGACTACAAACACATTTGACTACATAATTAGAAATTACTTTATCTATTTCTTCATCCGCTTCATCTTCCACTTCTTCTGAATCTTCTATAGAGTCCATTGTTTCATCTAACATTTCTTCGATAATTCCAGCTTTCATCATTTCTTTTGACAATTCTCTCATCGTGGCAGCTACCTCAGGCACCCTAACTAACGACTGCATTGCTTGCATTACTTCGGTAGATTTTGACACCGAACCAGCTACTCTAATCGTTGCCAGTTGATTTTTCATTTGCAAAGAAACAGAGTTCAAATGAGCTTTGGATGTACAGATTTTATTGCAGGCTTTCCGAGCACGTATTATTTCCTTTGCTAGAACTTTGCACACATCCTTGTCACCTTTCTTTGCTGCTTCTTTTAGAGAACGTTTTACTTTTTCTTCTTCTCGTTGGATCGCTGCCTCATATCAAATATAATCCCTCGTATCAAAGTTCTCCATAATAAATGATTACTTGCAGTAACTTACCTCTAACCTGTCTATCCAGTTGATAACCTTCCTTCCTCAATTTATGTGTCCATTCTTGAACCTGAAATACGATTCAGTATAAAACCTAAACAAACGATGAAAATATCTTTCAATTCTAACCATTTCTTTTGGATTTCTTTCCGGGGATTTGCCAAATAAACCCATTTTCTTGCTATGTTGACAGACGTTCGTATCTGCCAAACATAACCAAGTTACCTTCGGTTATTGTTGGTTACCTTCCATTCCATCGATTACGTCATTACTACATGAATCACCGATGATAGTGAATCGCCAAGATTAAAAATTGATAGCAACATACAAGAAAACAAGGAAATATAATAATAAAGTATAGGAAAGAAGGAGGAGATAGGAAAAAATAATAACGAAGTATCTATCTCAGTCAGTTATCGATCAATGTTTTAAAAATCCTTTTATCAGAATGATTAGGAAGTAACTTAATTTGTTCTTAAATAAATAAATAATCAGGTATTACCTCTTTATTTCATCTTTACGTTATACAAAGGAAATTAGAAAAAAAAGATATAACATAGTACAAAAGTAGTATTAAAACCATCATAGATAAGTAAATTATAAAGTATCTTAATTGTACGTTTAGGAAAGTTATAAAAAATATTTATTTCTCATTTCGACGATGCATTTAGAATCATATCCCTTAACCAGTTCAATATATTCGTCACTATTTCTACCCGTTTGTTCACGTTTTTATTTATGTTGCGTTGATATCGGTATCTATCGAAATCGTTCTGTTTTTCTTTCCGTATTTGGTTACTCATCGCATCCTCCTTTCGGTTATCATTTACTCTTTTCTCGCTCGTTTTATCGTTATCAGGCACCGAATGAATGTCCAACAGATCACGGAGAAGATCGACATCCACATTGTTCTTTCCTTTATTTCTCAAATTCTTTAACCGATCTCTCGCGTGCTCATCAATCTTTTCCATCTCGTCGAAATTCCACGGCGTTCGCGCTCTTTGCAAGTCCAAAGACAGATTGTATCTTCTCGCGAAACTTTCCACGGGCATCGAGAAAATGTGCAAGCTGTCGTCGGCCGAATCACGTTTCCTTCGATCGTTGAACAAAACTGATCTCATCGATTCGCCATCGGTGATCCTTTTCCTCCTGTTGAACCAGATTCCGTCGTCGGTAAGTTTCGTGTTCGAACTTCTTCGTACCGTGCGAACAACGTTGCCTTCCGCGGGCACGCAACAAGGGCATTCTTTGTTTAACAGATGTTCGCAGACTTTCCTAGAGATCGATAAAGCGTACGAACCATCGTCCAATTTTCTGATCTCTAACGGTAACTTCACGCCGTCACCGACGTAATACAGCTCGGAGTTTCGAAGATTCTGCACATCGTCCTCGTTGTTGCTGTTCTGTACAGAAATTTTACCTAAATAAGCGAGATCGCGTTCAGGGGACTGTTTTAGATTTGAGTCCGTATTTCCCATTCCCAGCAACGGCGTTCTCTCGTCTTCGTCGTTCTTTACTTCCTGAGCAGGCTCTCCGCTTCTTGGAGCATCTACGACGTCGGGCAGACTGCAACTCGATTTGTAATTTGGTTCGACTGGTAGCTCTTTCCCGTTCGAGGTCATTGATCCTCCTTCGTTTCTCGCCGCCCCAACTACACCGTCGTTTACAGATTCTTCCCCAGTATCTCCTGAATTTTCCAAATTTTCCTCGGCAGTAGACGCTGTAACAGATTTTAAGGTCGGATTGTCTATTCCTGCTTCGCCTTTGGCGATATCTAATAACTTTTTCATATCGATTGTCGACGGATCGAGAGTGTTCGACTCTGCCGCAGCCTCTGTTATCGTATCTTGATCTTCTTCGCTCTTCGTCTGCATCAGAATCAATTCCTCGTTCAAAGTGTTTCGAATGACCGAATCATCCACCGGTTCTTCGTTTCCCGGCTCGAAAGTGTTTCGAACACTTTCGACGATCATGTTTTGAACAACAGGATGCTTGACAGCCTGCAGCCCCAGTGCAGGGTCTCGAATGAGATCTCTGACGGAAGTTTGCACTTTTTCCAAGCTTGTCGGAGCAGGAGCCTCGTCGGTTCCCGGTGCAAGAGTAACTAGATTGGTGACCCATTTTCCGTTTTTGAATTGGTGCTCTTCGACAGTCAGCGGCGGAAGTTCTGTCTTGGGGATGGGCGCGGCGGACAACATGTGACGCAAGGTGTTTCTGATCACGTTAGTGGTCTTGTCGTTATCGAACACATTCCGGTCAATGGTGATTATCTTCGACAAACGGTCCTTCACTCTGTCCATGATCGTTTGCTCGATAGGTGGCATGGTCAACACGTTCTTCAGATTCGGGATTTCGACGATTTCCGGCAGGAACTCCTCGTCTTTCGCAGCGCCGACGGTCTCCTCTGACGAATCTTTGGCAAAGTCGTTGACCACCGACTTTATAGTACTTTGCAGTAAGGAATTATCGCAAAATGGTAGTGGTTGGTGCGACGGGTTCTTTGCATTTTCATTTGCGGTGTTTAGAGCCGATCCAACTATAGAAGCATCATCCTCTAAATTTTTTGCCTGACCCGTTGCAAAATTTTTATTAAGTAACTCTTTGCCTTTCGCGGTATTATCATTCCCCATCGAAGAAACTATCGGGGTCTCTTGTTCAGACTCTTCTTGTTCTGGCGATTCGATCGTTTCGTTGTTTGTAAAATATCCTTCATTCCCTTCGGACTCATCACTTTCATCCGGAGAGGATAAACCTCCAGGAATTAACTCGCCAGCTTTCTCGGCAGGGGAAGCTCCCTCGTGTTTTATGTCCTGATTTGAATCATCGGTTCCATCCTCGTTGAAATTTGGATTGTTTTCACCCACTACGTCCTCTTCTTTGTTTTCCTCGCCGAAGTTTGTGTTGCCCATATTCGTCGCTTTTCGGATCGTTTCATCTTCGGGGTCGTTCAATCGACTCTGCACGTTCGTGTTGTAATCTTGATCCTCGCCTGTAACGTGAAAGTCATCGTAACCGGTTGGTCCGTGTTCGGTTTCGTTGGTGTAAGCTTTGGACGTGAAATAAGCGGTGGTGACCTCTTTGATTTCAGAGTAATCCAACACCCCGCTGCCCGTCGTTTCGTATTCGTTTTCCTTTTGGATCGATTCTGGCCCGATAGCTTGGACGTTCGGATCTTCCGGCTGCGAAGAATCCTGCGGAATAGACGGTTCTTTCTCGACGAAGCTTTCGGTTCCATCTTCGGAGGGATTCGACGGCTCAGATTGCAAATTGTTGTCGTAAACATTGGAATCTTCTTGCTGATCGTTCGTTGGAACGTTTTCTGGTGATTGGGTTAGCGTTTGGTCAAGAATGTTCGAAGGACACGAAGATTGCCCAACCATTTGTTGTTCTTCGTTCAAATCACTTTGTTGACCAATCGGTGCTTGTTGGCCAACGATGGAGTCAGGTTTAACAACACCAGAATTGAATGGAATGTTGAACTTTGTTGGATTCTTATCAGAACCTGCACGATGGGCGTACGGGATATAAGGTACTCTTTCCTGCCCCTTTTGTTGCAGAATGGGTTGCTTAACTCTAGGTTGCAAGCGCGAAGGATGTTGAGGAACGTTGGGGTACAATTTTTTTGGTAAATTTGGTCGATGAGGTGTGTGCGAAGGGACAGGTTTTTGTTTGCTACCTACGAACATGTTTCTATCGTCGTTCTTCCTTTCTGGTTTAATTCTCTTCGTGGCCTGTTGCGGTTTCAAGGCTGGCGTTTGATCAGAAGGACCATCTTTTCGCTGACAGTAACATATGTATTTACCATCGTCGAACACGTCGGTTTTCGTTAACGGGACGTTCTGCGAAGCACCGACGATTTGATCTCTGGACTTCAGACCATCCTGTATCGTTTTCAAAATTTCTTGTCTTCTAGTTATCGGAGGAGAAGCGCCTAGACGAAGCGGTGTTTTGCAACGTTTGGTCTTCTGACTGTGACCCTCTGTTTCTATGCTATCGTTCTCTTCCTTCTCCTCGGATGCCGGCATTAAAACCAGCAAACTCCTCTTTGCGCTCAGTTTGGAATTAAGTTCGGATTGGTTCTGTTCCGTAAGAACATCCGAGGTAATTCTGTTAAAGACAAATTTACGGTTAGTACAAGTTAGTGGGTTCTTGTATCGGAAGAGAAGACGATTATCGAGGAAAAGATCGGCGAAAATCGATGAGTCGTATATATTTTGTAAATAAATTGCTTAATCTTTCAGTCACGATGTACTTATGTAACAACCGCGAATGGATTACTTAAGCCCAATAAATAATTCTTGATTATTGATTTCAACGTTCCAAACAATAACATATTCTTGCTAATAATTTTTAATAATCATTTGAATGAAATTCTTGTGTCCTAAAAATTCAATAAGAGTCTCATCGTGAAAATAATTGCACGAATTTGAAAAGCAGGTTGAGAAATCTCTGTTCAACGAAGTCGATCGACATCGTATGACATATATTTGAATCACGTTGAATCGAGGATTTCTTACGAATTCGAAATTTTATCTTGGCTCTGCTTGAGCGTGAAACGTAATTTAAACGTAGCTGACGCTAACAGTTGTGCCAGTGTCGCTTTTCAAATGACTAACATACTTTCGCGTCTGCGATCTTGCGGACTATGGGTCACACCGTGATCCGGAATTCGACCAAGAAGGAACTCGTTTGAAAAACTGAAAGAATGTTCCGATGTACTCCGGTGGAAAGCTAGATAAATGGTACGGGATAAGGGAAATTTATGAGGGAGCGGATCGTGCATTTATGGCCTGCTGAAATATATTCTCAAAGAAATTTGTTGAATGATCTTTCGTAAATGTTAGGCTACCGCATATGTTCATCCGTCTAAGAACTACGTTTTTGGAATATTAAATTAAATCTCGAATAAATCTCTCGCACGGTTAATAAAAAAAGATTTCCATATATTTATTAGGTAATCTCGAAAGTTCGTGTCATTTTTGTTTTCCATCCTTTTATTCGAACAATATTTCAATCGCGAGATTTTCAGGTAAAAGTGTCACAGTTCGAGAACGTGTCATTTTTAGATATAAAATTAGCAATTACCTCGAATCCGTTGTGGTCTCGACGTCTTCATTATTTAGAGATCCAATGCTTTTCGAACACGTAGTTATTATGAGCGTGAAAAGTATCGAACAGACGATAGCTGAACGACACATCGCGAAAGTCACTCGATTTCAAATTTCCTCTCCTTTCTATCTTGATCGCGATTGAAGTGAACTGTCCCAAGAGCGATCAACGACTGTGTACCTCGATTAATATATGGGATAAAAATTGCCCAGGTATTATGATGTTTTCCTATTGCAAAATTCATTGTGCCGATGCTGTGTCGCAACGATACACCTGTACATTTGTTACACATTTCTCGGTATCTTGCACTAAACAGCAAACGATATTTTGTCAATTTTCTTGTTTATTTTATGTTCGGTACTTATTCTCAATGATTTGCAAATCGACAGTTTTTTAACTACAGGAATTAATACTCGCTCATACTCTTTACGATTTTTATTTTGTCATGTAATACATAAGTTGTAATTAAAAAAACAAGAGGGGTAGTACAAAATACAATAAAATATTAGTGATTTAAAAACAGTGTAACAAAAATTTATAAGATATTATCCTTGCAAGATTCGCGTGATTCCACCGAGCAATGCGAAGAACTTTTTCACGTTTGTTATCGCATTGCGAAACAGGTGGTGAGAGACCTTCGTTGATTTAGAATCGTCCCAGTTATTTTCTTCCCCGCTCTCAGTCGCCTCGTCAAATTTTTCGTCCAGATTTTCGACCAGCTGTTCCACCGAGCTCGTGAAATTTTGAGCTTTTTGCAAACCATCGATCACGATGTTTTGCAAACTCGGTATACTTTCTTGGATGAGCGATGGCAAGCCACGGTTACCATTTTTCTTTTGATCCTCCTTCTTCGTGTATTTCTCGATCGGTATCTTTTCGACTAATGATTTCTCAATGTCGTCCATCTCGGTCGAAGTCTGATTTTTCTGGCTCGAAGATCCTTCCAAGTGCTGTAGTTCCGAGGGTTGCACCTTCGAAGATAACAATTTTATTAATCCCTTGTCTTTAGTTATAAAAGTAGTTTACAAGAAAAAATAGATGAATTCTTACCATATCAGTATTTTCATCAATCATCTCTCGATCCACTGCTTGTCTTCGTGATCTATCAAATTTTTTCGTTGTATTCGCACGGCTCGTTTCATCTTCCAGTATGTTGAATGAACGTTCATTCGTACGAACAGATAGATCATCTAAATTACTCCGTTTAACAGGCATAACCTTGTGTTCCTCATTTTTCTTTAAGACGTCCAAGATTTTAGACGATGCTCCATCAAAACTGTCCTCTGATCTTTTTTTCAAAGATAAGTAATTGTCCTGTCCGGGTTTTAGCCAAACGAGATAATCTTTTTCAGGTTTAATACTCGTGTCCCTGCGTCTTTTACTTGCAACTGTGTCGGAATGTTCCTCGATGATGGATACTTCAAAACTGGTAACATCTTCGTCGCTTTGCAGGTCTTCTATCGGAATATCTTGATGATTCTCAATTTGATCTACCGTCTCTTCGTCATCGAGAATTTCTAAAGATTCGTGTTCTTTAGAATACTCCGTATTCCTGGAAGATTGCTCGACTACCTCGCTTTCCACGATAGCATCTTCCTCCGATCGTTTTCTTTTCATTTCTTCGAAGATCGAACGAATAAAATTATGCTTTTCATCTATGGTGTTGTATTTGTTTAGCTGTTTAAAAAGCTCTTCGACCGACTGTAAGTCAAGATTGTCGATCAGAGCCTTTAAAAGCTCTCCGGTGTTTACATTTTCCGATAGTTCTTCAAATTCATCGGATTCTTCGTCGGAAACTTTGTCCTCCCGCTTGTGTTGTTCCGTTTTACGACTTCTGTACGGTTTGCGTAACACTTTACGAATTACCCCGTGCACGTTTCTCGATCTCGAATTGGTTTGCGGTCTCCATAGATTTCTGTACGGTTGTAAAGTCGGCTCTCCCCCTCTGTATTCGGAGGGATCGATCACGTATATCTCTTTACGATACAGTCTGTTTCGAGGCCGATTGTAGGAGTCGTAGTTGGAACGAAAACGTGGTGTCTGTAAAATAAATTAATAATTTATCCGAGCTCTCTCTTTATACCTTAATAAAAAGAAATTTACCTGTGCGTTTCTCTTCTCCTCTCCGTGCTCTCGCAAATGGAAGATTCGTGGCCTGTCCAAATTCTCCACCAAAGCAAAATATGTCTTCTCATTATCGTCGTCCACGCTAGAGCTTTCGATCTTGGCCGTCTTTTCCTCCAACAGTTCCTTCAATTGTACAATTTCTGTCCCCGCTCTATCGGGATTCGAGTGTTCCATAGTTGAATCTCTTTGACTTTTGGGATTGAAAATTCCCTTCCTGATCTCGGTCGGAACGTCCCTTTTGTCGATCGATTCGGAGCTCTCGCTGTCATCGCTCGTCGGGTTGTACACCAGAACGCAAGCCATCTTATCGCAATCCCTCACGTCCTGCAGATCATCGCTATCCTCGACGATCTCCCACGTTTGTCGTCTTTTCAAATTTCTATTCTCGTTCGCTATTTTGGTCATTTCGTCGTCTATGCTCTTCTGGAGATTCTGCAACACCGGTCTCTTTCTTTCGGGAAGTTTCGTCTTTCGAGGTTGTTCTGGTTTTTCATTCTTGTTCTTCGATTTCTTCGGGCCAAATTTGTACACCTCGTCTCCCGTTTTCCCTCGAATCATCTTCGCTAGTGCCGACAGGACTTTCGCTCTCTGCATCAGTTGCGTCTCTCGAGCCTTGGCGATGTTCGACTTGATCCTTTTACTCTGTAGATTTTGCTTTCTATTTCGTTGGGAATCTTTCGAACTCCTTGCCTCGTTTCCCACGGATAGTTTGGGAACTTTGTCCACGATTTCCCTCTTGGCGCTCGCGGCAGCTCCTTGATCGATATTATAATCCATCTTGGATTCTTTGGCCATTTCCTGTTCCCATAGAGACGCTGTGCTCGAACTTTCTTCCATCTTCTTCGTGGCAGCCTCCTCGCCGGTAGAGGGTGTAGAATTCTTATAACTGTTCGAACTATATTCCTCACGATCCCCGAAAATATCGATTGCGGTTTCCTTCGCCTCCGTCTTCTTCGAATTCTCGAGAAAAAACTTACCTCCTTCGCGTCGAATCGGACTTTTCACTGACCCAACCGATTCGTCTTCGCTCGAAACGGGAGTCAACGAGGGAATCGTGGACACCGTTCCAAGATCGAAATCTTCCAGATTTATAGAAGCCTGAGTAATTGGAATTTCTTCGACATTCGTAGTTTGCTGCTCATTTTCCGACTCTCGCAAAAACGTGTTTCTTTCCCTTTGAATCTTGAGCGATTCATCGTCCTCGTTCGGAGCCAAAATCAGCGAAGAAATAGTGGACGGTGTCTCAGAATTGGAATCTTCAAGATTTACAGCAGCTACGCTGACGGTTTCACTTGGGAATCTTTCGAAACTCAATTTCCAGTTCACCTTACTTTTTCGTGGTTTCTTGCGAGTAGGCGTAACTCTCTCGCGTTGAACCGGCGTTTTCAGCGACTGATCGTCTTCGTTTAAAGTCGAGACTGGGGTAACGGTATACGGCGTTACAGGGTAGACATTTGCATCGATTACCTCGCTGGAAGTCGCTTCGAAATTCGACACTTGTTCCTTGTTTCTTCTCGCCTCCGCGCGAAGAGACGTATCGTCTTCGCCTTGAATTGGCGTTTTAATCGATTGATCATTCAAGCTCAATGGGGAAACAGTAGTCAGAGGATTTATCGAGGTTACACCGATCATCTCGCTCGAAATTCCTTCCAAATCGATCTGTGCATTCGGTTCCATTTCCACATTGGATTCAGTTTGCGACTCCATAGGAGCTTCCTTAAGTTCGGAAAACACCTCTACGTCCGCGATATCGTGCGAATTTAAGCTCTCCACTTCGGAAAGAGTCGCTGTCTCCACAGTCTCCGCAACATCCCTCCCTGTTCTGCAATTGCAGGCTTTCGAACTCCTAATCACTCTACAATTGCAGTCCTTCAAGTTCGCGTCGTCCTCGTTGATCATTTCTTGGTCCAATATCTCGTGCAGGTCCTCCACCTCTCTTTTAGACCTTCTATAATCGGTATTCGTGGAAAAATCTAATGCCCTAAACAAAGGATTTGCATAAATAGTCCTCCCAGATCTTTCTGGCCTAGGATCGATCATTTCAGCTTCCCACAGTTCAGCAGCATTCCTATCCCTTTGCCAATCCTCCGACGGAGCCGGTGGATACATTTTTTCGCCGTATATGTCATAATCAGAATACTCAGGTTCCGGGGAATCCGAATCGTTTTCTTGACTTCCGGCCTCATCGTCCATCGCTCGCGGAAGTCCTCCAGTGGCGAAAGACACGTCGCCTCGCGGGAAACCTTCTGCAGGATTCATCTGGAAGAATCCGTAAAACGTGTGTTCGTCGCTGTCGCTGTTTTCCAGCTCGACGATACTCGGCACTATTCTTATATGCTCGATTCCGGATCGTTTTCTCAGAATATTTTCTCGTTTTTGGTCCGGGGTAGTTGCAAACCTACTGTACAGGTCCCTCTTGACCACTTTAGCTTTGGACTCGTTAAAATCGACACGATTCAGAAAATCAAAGAGAGACTGTAAGTGGTCCTTGACGTTGCTGGATGATTTTAATTTGTCCGACGGATCGATTTCGCGTTTCGAGTGAAGGGCAGTCTGCACCTTCGATAACAAGGACGCTACGTCCGTGACAATTTTGTCGACCGTCGATTTCATTTTCTCCGATCTCGATATGCTTCTTATACGTAGTATGCGATCCTTGAACCCTTGTAATTTATTTTGAATATCGTTTCGAGATTCCTGTGCATTCGCGCTCGTAGTCCGACTATCTCCTGCGTTTTCTGGCCGAGAAGTTGAAGAATCTTCAGGTTTTAATGGAACTTTCGCGGTGTCGTAATCGTCCAACTTTTTTCTCGCAAAGTTTCGCAGCTTTTTGAGTTCTCTTTTTAAGATTGACTTTCTGGAGGCTCGAGAACTAATCTTCTGCTTCTTTTCGGTTTTCAAAGTCGATGTATCTTGCACGGACCTCGTGACGTGAATTTTCACGTCTTCCGTGTTTCTCAAGCCTTCAAAATTTCCCTCCGACGTTTTATCATCTTCCATGCAAGATTTTATCTGCGAAAATATCATAAATGTAGCAACGGTTGACTCGCGTCGTGAAGAAGCATAATAAATGTTTCCCATTACTTTTAAATTAGGAAGAACCCAAAAACCAATGCCTCCTGGATGCAGCTCAAGCTTTACTCCTTCGGTGCTGCTCAAAATATCGGGAACCAGCTCAGGAACCGTATCATTGATCAAATCCAGCGTTTTATTGTTCAAGAAGACGCTCCTGATAAAAATGTGTGATAGATAAAAATGTAGTGAAACAAAGAACAGTGTGTTCGATTTTCAAAAGACAGAGACTCACTCGGAAAACATTCTGTTGGGTGTAGTAAAACCTGGAGAAAGAATATATTCGTGTACCATGTCGATTTTCATTCCCTTCAAGTCGATAGTAACCTCTTCAGGGTTCAAGTTCACGCCAAAGATCGTAACAGACCCTTTCTCGTACTTGTTGGAAGGTTTCGTGCACTGACAGTAAAGGTACACGTAATCTTTATCGCTGGTCTTTGCATCGAATACTTTTCGTCCAACCAGAGTCTTGTGGAGTAAAGACACCCAGTAATCCTGTCGATTTTAACGAGTTAATTATCGCTACTCTGCTTTGTGTGACTAACAACTTACGGCAGACGGTTGAGTCAGGTCAGTTGGTTGTCTCATGAAGACGTTTATCTTCGATCTTGCTGCATTACCTAATCTTCTCGCTAAAATTAATGCTCCGATGTACAGGTTCTTCAGTGCTTCTGGCTTGGATTCAGCTTTAACGGAAAATTGATCATGAATCGTTTGTTAGAATATTATAATTGATATTTTTGATGGCTTTTTACCGATCCATAACTGTTGCTTGTCCATGAAACGTCCGATAACACTGAGCAGGTCCTCTCTATCTTCATCCAAACTATCTCGTTGCACCAAGGCTCCCGTGTCGTCCAAAGTGACGCTAGCGAAATCGCTGCAATCATCGAGTCGTGTTACTAACACGAAAAGAATACGTGTCTATAATTAAAATTTATATCGGCAAGAAATTTACGGGTGCCAAGTTACAGCCGTAAGCGCCGGAGCAGCGATATTAAAGTAATCTCTGAGATACTGTCGCTGCTCCTCGCTCCTATAAGCCACGATGTCCGGCCCGGTAACGAGGCTGCTCGAATATCGAGGAAATTCGTTCAATATTTTTCGTAGATTCACCGTCTGTCTCGCTAAATCGCTGGCTGAGACGTTGCACCTGGCCTGACACTCTGAAAAAAATCCAATTTAAAGTAGATTTTCTCCAGACGAATGATTAAAGTAAGAAGCTTGACGAGGTAATTTACCGTATCCCAGCTGCCAATTCGCCTTGAAAGCCATGTGATCGGTGAAAGAAATTATTTCCATCGCGTCCTCGGAGCGTTCGATTTTATCTCGTTGATCAGCGGCCGAGACGCAAGCTATTACGTCCAATCCTGCTTTCTTTGCCCACTGATTCGTTACAATCCAATCGGATGCTGCGATCGTCAAAAATCATCGTCTCGTTAATCGTCTCACCGTTGTATTTACCGCAGCGTGTAATCGATTGTACCCTTTAACCGCGGCGAAGTTATTCTTTCCGAACGTTTGCTCTAGTAATTCGCGCAGGGCAGCCTTTTGTCGCCTCGCATTACTCTAACTATTCGCGCTAATTACGCGCGAAACTTACGCGTCTGGCCCAAGGTGCAAATCCACCTAACGAGCTCGGTAATTTAACATTCGGTACATTTTCCGGCTGGTGTACGACGTAATCCGACACCGGCACCACCGAGTCCCGTGTCTTCCTCTTCGAGCAAATTCTACCCCAATCATTCTCCATTCTTTGACGCAAATTAATGGGTTGCTCATTTCGCGCAAATTAATAGGAAACGTTTCTGCTCTCGCGTAGCTTGTCGGGTTCTTTGAAAGGAATCTTCAGTTCGAATTTGATCGACCGTAAGAAAGCTAGAGATTCGTCAATTTCGTCGGTTTATGCTCGCGAAGCTTCTAATTACGAGATACGTTTGCGACGCATCGGTGCACGAAACATCAGTCAAGTTAATTCAGGCAGTTTCTGTAACTGAGTGGTCAAGTTGGCGCATCAGTTGCGAAATTAGCCGAGGAAGATGTGTGTGATACGCGCGTTCCTCGGCATTAATGGAAGCTTCGGATGCGTGTGGGTCCTCTGTAGCCTACCGTCCGTTACATTGCCGTCTAAATTAACCGTGATAATGGGCCAAGGGTTCGGTTGTTTTATGGTCAAGTTACGGGGATTACCGTCCGGCGAGAATTTACGAGGAAGGAAACGGATCTACAAGTCTATTTCTAATTATACGATCGATTTTTTCAACGGTAATAAATAGGATAATTATACTTACCAGATAGCTCGGTTATTTCGTTCCTTCCGACATCCTGAACGTTCGAATCGGTAAACCGGAAGGAAGCCGGTCTTTCGAATCGAACGTACGCCGGACTCATAGCTCTTGCTAAATTTACGCTCTTCTCGAAATTCGTGCTGAAATAGAAACGATCGCCACATCTAAAAACTAGCATTGATCTTCTGTTCCATTTTGACTCCTTTCAAATTCACCAACGAAGGTTGAAATTTAAATTAAAACACGCACGCGTTTCGAGACTAGATTGAATAGCATTTCATTCAAAGGTTATATACGTAGTCGTTCCAAGAGTTTTTTGTGCTTGCAACCTTGCACACTATTGATTGCTTTTAAATTGATCTTGAATTGCTTTACGTAAGCGCAAGAGGGACCTTTCAAAATGACGTTCCTTAATTGTACTTAATTATACTTCGAGTGGAACAAAATTCACTGAAAACTCGATTCTTCGTAAAAGTTAAAGCTCCCTTTAAATTATAAATACAGTTACTGCGGCAAACTCGAATATGCAATATTGTCAACTGGGAATGAAAGGAACTTATATCGTGTTCTATGCGCGCTATCTCCTTATTGGACGTACCTGAAAGCATTTCCGGTCAGCAGGGTTTCTGGATCAATGGTGAGGCTAAGAAACTTCTCGTCGGTCACTGCGATAGGCTTATCGAAGTCGATGTTCAGCGTGAAATCCTCGGCCAAAGAACGCGCCACGAGAACCGACAGAAAGCAGATATGATACTCGAGACGTTTCATTTTTCATCGGTTTAATTGTTTCCGTTCGAGAAATTTTCCATGTCACTTTGCAGAAAATCGATACGTTTCACCGGATGGCTTTATTCGCACTGAGGGGCCGATTGTTAAAAAATAATGCATACGACAGACAAGTAACGCGAGGCATTTGCGGAATTTCGACATCGCTGTATGTCGGTCATTGCGTAAAAAGTAAAAGATCGAAAGTAGCGTGTTTTTGCACGCGCAGCGGAATTCGCGAATCGATTCATCGCTGTTCCAATTTTACCGCGCTAGATCTAATTTTAACGAATTAAACTAACAGCGAGGAACCCACACCTGTTTCTTGATTTACGCGGATACGTTCCATACTGGTTTTTATTGTCAGGCGTGATCTCTGAAAATAGGGAAAAGAGAAGAAAGGGAAGAAGAAAGGAATAGACGATCCAGTTGGTAACACGATTAATTTTTATTATATTTTATTCATTTTCTTGCTGTTGTTGTTGTTGTTGTTCTTGTTGTATTTTTTAGAACTAAATAACATAAACGAATATTCTGGGTTAATTCATTTGCCGTTTATTATTACTCGTAATATTACTATCGGTATTTTTAAGAGCTATAACGATGAGGCGCGCCCCTAAAAAATCGTCTTCGTGCTTCTCGCTTCTTTTTCTCTCGCAAATTATTCCTTTCCACCGTGATACCTATAAGAAATACCATGAATTTCCCGAACAACGTAGGAAGAGGAAAGCTCGATTATCCTTCTCTGTTCTCTCTTTCGTCTATCTTTTTTGATTTAATCCCTTCTCCTCGTTAACTCTCTCCTACCTTCGTTCGTCAACCCCTATATTCACCCTCGAGATTCTTATTCGATATTTACTAAGATATCTAACGTTGCAAAATCAAAATTTTAGATATTGAAGCCCCAGTGTTTGCTTGCTAACACGAGAATTAAAACTTTGTATAACTTTAGACGTGAAATTTTGTACACCTCGTTAACCCACTGGGCTTAGAAAATTCCTTCTCTTTTGTAGATTTTTCCAACAGTTTCTTGTCGTCTCGAGGGTGGAAGTAGGAGAGTCGACCGAAGAAAGTAAGATTCTATGCATTTTTCACGCGTAACAAGGGCTGCTGCCCCTTCTACTCACGGGCACAGCTACGAAATCGTGTATCCTGTCGTGTCGTGTCTCGTATGTTCATTTCCTGTGTGAAAATCGAGTATGTCGCACCTGTATTAACCTTTTATTTGGCACTGGCAAACTTTCGAATAATTAAATATAACGTCTATGCTATTCGAAGCTTTATAAAAAAGAAAACAAAATTGTACCGTTCGATGCAATTCGTAGAATATGTAATTGTATCCCTCCTTCGGCTAGAAACTAAATTTTCTACGCTAAACATAAATTAGTAATGGAAAAGGTTGTAATCAAAGTTAATTTCACCGATTAATTTATTGCATAACTTGTAACAATGAAACTACAGAGGAGAAACATGAACTTTTTCAACGGTACAAGAGAATTTTACATCAATTCCGCTACGTATAAAAAATACCTAATCTTGCAAACGTTCACTTTGCAGCCAACGGTACAATCGTCCACCGTTGTCGCTAAATAAAGGGTTAATCGTTCTCGTGCGTACGTGTGTTTGTTTCGTGTCGGTGTACGTGTGAACAAGTGGTCTCTTAACATCTAAGTTACTTCATTTTTTTTTTTTTTTGTTATATCAATGTGTATATATACATATATATGTATATATATACCTGTATGTATATATATATATTCATATATATAATATTATATATTATACATAGTCTAACAACAATATTAATATTATTTATCATCGACCCATCCGGCGTTTACTTTGTTTTCCTCATCAAATGTTACAGAATATTTTACGCTCGATAATCAACTCATTCGTATTCCAATAATTTAACCGCTAAGCATACTACGTTTCATACAAGAGATTTATTTTTAATTCATCTTTCTCTTTCTTTTTTTCGGAATTTTCTTTGGTGTCCTTTGAACATTTACTTTCTTACTTTCTTTTATCCTCGGAGCAAGCTTGGTGCGATTTTTAGGGCATTATTACCAAGAATCCCGTATGCCCTTTTGCTTCTTTTCAATCTTCCCCTACGTCGTTAACGATTACAATAAAAATTATTATTGGTCGTTGCATGCAGCTAAAAACGCTTTGCAATTGTTTTTCGAACGTCGAAATATAAAATTACACAGAGATCGATGTGAACGTACGCCTCAAAATTACAACAATTTTCCTCTCGTTTCCTCTTCTTTAACGCTAGGACAACCAAGCTAGTCGATATCTTTTATTTTCAGCTATCAGAATCGTATTCTCTTTTGTGCCGAGACGAAAAAAAAGGAGAATCGTTATAATTTCAAATGAAATTCCAATGGTTGGTTGTTCCAGCGTTAATCAATCTCGCTTTTATGCGTGTACGGTACATTTTGGTTCTTAGATACAGTGTTCTGACGTGTAAATGCACATGCACGCAATTTTCCTCTTTGCTCTTTCTTTTTTTTCTTTCCTGTATAAGACACGTATAATAGTAGTAATTATAGGCATCTATAATATTGCTTCTCGGTTCAACGAGTTTACGAAGACACTGGGCACGTCGCGATACTTTGCGACTGTCGTCGCACGGCGACATGCTGTCCTCCGATATTACGATCGTAAACGTTCGAAACTCCGAACAAACGTAGAAATTTCTAACCCTATAATTTGCATACCGTCGCCGATACTTCCGCGCCGTCGACCGGAATGATGTTCTTTTCGAAAATGTAAAGTGTCCCGATTAAAAAGGAACAAAACTATTCGTGTCCCACGTGTTTCACGGAATTTCGAAACAAATTCAAAGCAGTTTCGAATCTCCGGCGACTGCGAACTCCAATTTCAGACAGGTGTCGCTTTCCCTCGTTCAATTATTCATTGTTTAGAAGCATTCTGAAAGTTTCAAACGGTTCGTTCAGCGCAAATAGAATTTCCTCGAGGAAAACACGTTTGACGGAATTTATTTCGTACGATCGAGAAGAGGAGTCACCGTGCGTTCGCAAGAACCCTGTCCAAAAAATCGCACAAGTCCGCTCGAAGATGACGTTACGAGAGTCCTCCCTCATCGAATGGCAGCTGACTCGAAAGAACTCTGTTTCTTTTTTATATTTTATTTTTCTTTTTGGTATCCGTCTATTTTTTCGTCTCCGGAAACTCGTCAATCATCAGAGTTCTTTCCTCGTTTTTCTCTTTCTCTTCCGTTCGATTTTCATCGGCACCCTCTTTCTGTATACAAAGCTAACGACTACTTTTTTTACTTTACTTAACATCGTGATCTTTTGCCGCTTTTTTCCACTAGGTTTTTTCTTTTTTTTGTGTTTTTTTTTCTTCTTGTTTTTTTATGGTGTTGCTCTCGCACGCTCATCGAGAAACACACACACACGCGTCTACGTTATTTTATGCAACGATCGTCGAGATCACCGTCGTTAAGTGGATCATAACAATATTACGTCGATTGTTTAACGTTAATTTATCATTATTACTTTATAATGCGTTTTTGTCGTTGTCTCTGAATAAGTCGAGTCGGTTCTTCTCGCGAGTTACGCCGGTGTGTAATCTCTCTCTCTTTCTTCCTCTACTCGTTTCGCTTGGAATTTCGTAAAACCAGTTATCGCGACGATGGAAATGTCTATTAGCTTCGTCGAGAATAAAAATCGAAGCGTATCGAACGATGGTTTTTCGAAATTCAAGGATGCACGGTTTTCGCGCTTCGTCGTTCGTTTTCTTTCATTTCCGTCGATTTTCGCGGAACGAAATCGCTTTTAAACGCTACATCCAACTTTGGTTTTTTTCACTTTTTTTTCTTTTTGTTTCGTAACTATGTACATCGGAGAAAAAAGAACGTTACGCATCTGTGTCGTTAATTCTTAACGTTTCGGCGCATGTCGTACCTAAAATGCGTTATACTCTTTGTGACTCTTTAATAATCTCTTGTCCGGTAATTAAGTACCTAAGAAAACGGTCCTTTAACTATGTTTTACACGTTACTTGGACCCGTGTCGCGTTTCAACGAACCAGTTTTACTCTAACATCGATCAAAGGAAAGAAAGACTTGTCACGATTCGCTGAAACCGGACACGTTTCTTTTTTTTCTTCGGTTTACCATTTTTTCCTGTTAAAATCTATGAAACACGAATCGAATAGATTTTTAAGTATTTATTCACTTTTTTTTAATATCACTTGCCACGTGCCGCGGGTAGGCAAAGGGTGGCTTTAGGGGAGATACGTGAAAAGACAGGATAGGATCGTTTGATTTTTTACGTGCTCGTGCGAAAGTGAAGGATATTTCTTCGACCGTGGCTCACTCGAAAGCGATAATCGAAACGCGTGCACGGTCCAACTAGATAAAAGTGATCCTAACAGAAGCACCACGATTCAAAAGTTTGTCAATCCTTAAAAGTCGAGAGGTTCCGCTAACAGGACATTCCGTTTCAATTCCGACTCATTTTCCCGTAGTTCGACTACAGCATTTTATCAAATAACTATAGTTCGCTACAGTTATGATCGTAACGAAAGAGAAATCAATTCAGTCGACGGTTAAGGGTTGTTCTTTCTCAATCATAACAACGTGAACAGCGAATTTCGAGGCAACAGTGAAAGGGTGGAAGGGAATCGAGGAGATCGAGGAAAGAATGAAAGGAATCGGAGAACGAGAGAAAGTCTCGAGAATATTCGCGCGATCTTTTTTCCCCTTCGAACATCTCTTTCGATCGTACATTTTTGGACGCGTATCTCAAGATTTTCTTCAATTTTGGACCGCGATTTCCTCGTCGTAGGAATCGAAGGATCTTTCTTATTTTTGGTGAAAATCGTCGGCAAACGGCCTGCTCACCCAAGTACGCTACGAATTATAAAGTTTAACCCTTTCTGAAAATATGTGTACATAGGCAGCACATTTAAAGCTACAACAAACATTCTACGTAGAAGAAAAATAAACCTGTTTCAAGAAAACGCAGAAGTTCCTCCGAAATTTCGAGTAACGCGGATAACACACTTATAGCTATAACATCGTTCAACGAATAACAAAAATATATTTCTCCTTCCTTCCGAGAAAAAGTAGTTGAAATCACCTCGATCGAAAGGGTTAACACCGCAATTTGCCACGCGAAAGGTTTGTCGATCGAATCGTTTTCGCTAAATAGATCGCGTACAGGAACGTGTAGGAAAGAATCTTCGGTGCGCTGTGTGTGAATCGTAACTTGACGTTTTTTCAATTAAGGTAGACGAGAACTAAAGGCACACAAAGCTCTTTAATCAAATCCATTGAAAGTTACATGTGTGGAGCTCGTAACAATACATGATTACACGAGGGATAAGAACAGAGCAAAGATTCGAACTACTTAGCTACCGTTAGAGCAACGTTCACATGCTGAAATCACATCGAGAAACAACAACGACACACGACATTAATCAGCGATAACAACGTCTTCTTCGTTTAACGGCGTTTTATTTACTCTTTTCTTTTACGTGCATTTGCGAGACGATTAAGTAGTGAGTTGAAAGAGAATATTAGAGCAGCGAGGGGTGTACATCGAGCAGAAGGGTATCCCAAAGACGATAGACAGAGAGAAAGATTGCTGTCAGAGAAACAGAGCGTCAGAGAAAGAGAAAGAGAGACACAGAGAGCGCAAGAAAGGCATAAGGAAAACAGTTTGCTAATTGTACAATTTTACGCTGACATTACGGTCCGTTCGTTATTTTTAGAATTTCGTTCGCAGCTAAAAAATATTGTTCGTGTTATCTGGCAAATGTACAAAGGTTTCCCGATTTGATTCGTATTCGCAAAATTGCATTGAAACGATACAGGTTGAGGAAACCCCACAATTTTGATTCTTTTATCCTAGATAAATACCGAACCGTAATGCGTTTGTTCGTGAAAATAATTTGACGTTAATTGCTTTCCTTTCATTAATCGCAACGATAAGAACACGATCCTTCCGAGGAACGATTTACCTTCACTTTCAACTTGCGTCGACACCTTTCCTTTAATCCCGTTTTAAGAACCGGTGCAGACGCGCGACTTTCGTCGTCGCGATTTCGCACAGGTCACGCTATGCGACTCGACAGGTTCGTATTTTTCATTGTGCAACGCGATCTCGTTACGATATCGCAATCGGCAAAGTGACGGTCGTGTCACGTGGCGCGGAGTCACGGCTATTTATTACCGATATGTACCAGATTTGATATTGAATTATTCTAGGCAGAATAATATTCGAATTTTTCAAATTGAAACTTCGTGACATCCTGAAATGCGAACAAGCGTCATCGGTGCGAAATTAGAACTGTTATACGTCGATCGTCCGCACCGGTCCTAATCGTTTGCGCGTCAACTTCGTTAACGAACGAACCCGCGCGCGTTTTTTATTATACGCATATCGAAAAACTTGACAAGATTAACGAACGTGTGTATTTTCTCTGGCTAGAATCAATATAGATATATCTTTGGATTAATAATTGAGTAATTGACTTCAAGTGTGTGTTAAGAGTAGATCGTACAGGAGAGTTCGATTTCAGCGAAACAATTGTTGGATGCTTCTGGACGAAGGGAACAAGGTATATATCTAGGTACTTTGAAAGCGTTTCCGTCTAAAGATCGTAACCGTACAGAGAGAAAGAATGCGAGGGTTTCGGAATCATTGAAAATCATTGTGATACGTTCAATTATAGTCTCTGGTTACTTTCTTTCGTACAGGTTGCTCGCGGCTCGGGTAGCAAAATACAGGTGTAATTTGAATCGCGTAGACGATCGAATGATTTTCAAGGATTCGGTTTTGCTTATAGTAGAGAACATACAACCAACGACATCGATATCGATAGACGAGAGAGGCAGGTAGCATGCACTTTGAGACACGAGAGAGACTACGTCAAATAGATTTAAACACGAAAAGCACATCCACCTATTGCTCTTCGTTGCTTCTATTTCTTATTCTTTTTTTTCACTTTTTTGTTTTAGTTCGATAACTTATTTACGTTGAACGAGGTTCGCGCGACTCTGCGAAGATTCCTTCTTTAGTTAGGTGCCTTTTGACCTCCTTTCGGTTTAACTTTTCCATTTGCCGTCTTTCAATTTCTCAAATTAGTACTTTAATTTAATATTATTTATAGGACAACATTTTCCTTTTTACGTTTTCAGACATTCGAGTACATTTAACGCGGGTCCTTTTTCGGTTAATAGACTAACTTTTCCGCGAAACTTCACCGATTCGTGCACTCGAAGTTACATAAAGTCAAGGATTCGAGACTTTGGAAAAGTTCTCGGTCTGTTGACAAACCGACTGTCAAGAAACGCGTGCAAGACCGTTCTCGTTACGTCGATTTTTCGGAAAGTTCGCAAACACGAGAGAGATAAGCTTCCCCTGAATCTCTTACCGCAGCGAAAACTTTTTACTTTTCCGCGGTTTGAAATTTTTCGAAAAATGCAGCGACGAGGTCGAACGACTTTTATCCTTATTCGATCGTTCAAATTTCTCGACGTCGAACTTAAAAAACAATATCGATTGAACAGAGAATTTGGAAGAAAATTTCGATCCGTTTTCGAACTTTCATTGCGGAGTTTCGCGAACCTTTAGAAGCAACATAGCTCGAAACGACAGAGAACAGTCGACGCTATCGACTAACAGGTGCTCGCGTATTAAACGACACAGGGTGCATTTTACAGCACACAGATACACACGCACACACACAGAAAGCTTGACATGCGTCCGTTTGGATAGAAGGCCATCCGACTTCCGGCTGATGTTTGCTATTTCGCGAACTAGGACGCGGTCCTGACCTTAACATCCGTCATTCGAAGAGTCGAGGAAAGATCGATTCAATTAAATTTTTATTTTTCTTCTGGTAATTATGTAGAACAGGGTCCATCTCGCCGACCCCGGTGACCCAGATATTGCGCGCGCTATATAGCTCGGTGCCCCGAATAACTTTTTAATTTTAAACACATACCAGGAGGCATTTTACAACCTTTTATGCGGCACAAAGTCATAATATCGCTGCGAACAGCAATTATTCGACTGTCAAAGTCGTATTGTCGCCGAATATTAAAATTTTACTACATAGCCAACACACGTGTTATTTATGAGTTCCATACATTGCAATATTTGCCCTACTTTCTCGTCAAGCCCGTTATATGTTTTCAGCAATTTAGTAGGTAAATAATTATCATGAAATATGCACCGTAAACAAATATTAAACAATTTTAGTGCCGTGAATCGTGAAACACCTTGTTCATGATATATTTACCGAGGGAATCGACGTTCGCAAAATTATTGGACCATATTCCGTGTAATTATCATTTTTCTTGTTTCGCTGATCGTCGATGAAAATCCCGTGATCTTTCCTCGAGCGTGCGGCGTATTGTCTAGGAGATTTTATTCTTTCGAATTCGAACGAGTATGACAGAGCGCGTGTTTAGGAGAATCTCGAGTTGGCGAAGAAATCAGAGGATAGTCGTTATCGTAGAGTCAGAATCGATTCGAGAAGATTCGATAGTTACGAAGAAGAAGAAGAAGAAGAAGAAGATGAAGAAGAAGAAGATGTAAGAATAGAGTTCTATCAAAACGATATCGAACATAAAAAAGTTTTCATCTACATACATCATCCCTCGTACATAGAAAAAAAAGAAACAACTAGTCGCGCGAAGTTGCTTGCCTTTCATTTCCATCGCAGATTTATTTCCACCCTATACATATACCTATCCAAGTATTTAGATCGGATCCGTATCATAGGATGCTACTTATCCTTTTTCATCGAATGAGAATCATTCTCAGTCTCTTTAAATATCCGCGAAGAAATCATTTTTCTTCCTTTATACGATTCGAGCATTCTTCTCGACGCTTTAACGCTTTATCGACGATAATCCGTCTTGCAAATTGTTATAAAAAATGAAGGACTTTCTCTTACGTACTCTTCCACAATTTCAATGCGTTTACAGGTTGACCATAGTTGCACTCGCTTGTTATACCTTATCCATGTAAAGGGGGCCTAGGAATCCGTAACGAGTCCATAGGTACGATGGGCAGATTGGCACTGTATTCGTCCATTATATTCCGAGATTCTTTTTATTTGAACCTTTCTGCCGTACATATGGTTGCGCCCGTGAGCAGTTCCGTGGGCACTCGATCCGCCCATCGGCACGATTTCGTCGATAAAGCGTTAACTTCGTATATGTATAAGGCTCGCTTTACTTGCCGGCAGTCGATTGCTCTGTCCATCCCGTCCAGCGTCGTTCGTACGATCGAGAACGCTAATCGATCGTATCGGATTGATCGCGACGACTGGAACAAACGCGATGGAACGATAACTGGCTCGTCTCGAACACGTTTCCGGCGATAACACCCGAAACTCCATTTAGCTAACGAACCACGTCTCGACACTAGGCCCTGTTCCCCCCGGAATCGTTCGCGAACGTTGTTGCCTAACGTTGATTAACCTACCGTATTTAATTAACGCTCGATAGAAACGTGCCGTATATAAACGTGAAAGAAAGGCATCTTTTCATGTTTTAAGTTTAAACGCGAGTATCAGTGCTGCTCGGTTCTCGGTCGAGCTATTCTTCGCGTCGGTATCTTCTTCTTCTTTTTTTTCTCTTTTTTTTGCATTGGTTTTTTTCCTCGTCGTTAAGGCGTTCTAACTAAATGTACCTAAGAATCGATCAGGTGTTACGCGATTGCTCGACAGAGGTAATCGAAAAAATTCGAATTTGGACGGAAGGGAGGAGAGCAAGGGCCGCCGGTTACGCTCAAACTTCCTTTTTTTTTTAATTTTTATTTTTCTTATTCTTTCAACGATTCTTCGCCGTGTTTGTTTCGTTAGCCATTGGTCTCTTCGCTCTACTTTCTCGTGGCCCTCGATCCTTGTCTTAACTTGTCTCTAAATATAAACGTTCAATGATTAACAATCAATAAGAACAATGACCGCGTTATAATTCAGCCGTGAGAATAATTCGTAACTGTAATAATAATAATAATATAATAATAATGATAATCATCATCATAATAAATGACTCCCTCCTTTTCTGATCTCCTTGTTGTTTTGAACAGCCGTCGAACGAACTAGTGACTACGTTAACTCTACTATCGGGAGTGTTCTTTGTTACATCACTATTCGAAAGTTCGCTAGAAACTTAGATACTAACTTTTTACGTCTTTTTTTCATTTTGTTTAAACTTGTTTCTTATTCGTGTATATATATATATTTATATATACCTTTTTTTCTTTATTTATATTTATATTTATATTTATATATAGGTATGTTTATATGCACGCGCCCTTCGACTGCTCACGTCTCGTCTACGCCATCGAAATTCGCACGATATTCGAAAAGAGAGACTCTCGTCGATCGTCTCGTCTTTCGTCTCCTTCCGAATCGTAAGGCGTAAACGAATTCTCGCCGATTCTACTCTCTCTGCGTTCTCCAATTTGCCGCAACTTCCCTTATTTTTTAGCTCTCGTTCAGCGATCGTCCTCGTTCAAGATCGTTTCCGTTCTCCTCGTTTATCCTGGCAATTTTGAGCGTAATTTCTCTCGTACAGTTCGCCCGGTCGTATCGCGTCCAAAGAGGCTTTCGTCGATCGTCGCTCGAGATATTCTTCCCTTCGCGGATGCCGACAATCTTCCAAGCTTTTCATCCTCGATCGTACACGGTGCTGCTCGTTCTTTATTCGAGATCGAAACCGCGAAGTTTGTACCCGTTGAAAATATTCTTTTCTCGATACTAAGTCTAATTACCGTTGGAGAATCGTGAAATTTCTTCCGCGTTCTCGAAAAATAGTTTTCCTATCGCAGATTCGTCCTCGACAACGATACCGTTCCTTCCTGAAAGGAAGAGCAAGCACCTCCCTTAGAATTTCCCTGTCGTCACCGATATCGATCGAAGTTCATAGCTTTTCCGTTCGGTCGACGCGCTTCTTCCTCGAGATCATCCTCGATGTACCCGAGAAAAGCCTCCTCGACGAGTTCCTCGAGAAGCGTGTTTCTCGCGGTGCTTCGAGTGTTTGTCGCTTCCTTTGATGGTCTTATCGTCCTTACTGGCCAATTGGAATCTCGAGCCGATGATAGGTCGAAACAACGCGACGACGACCACGACGACGACGACGACGTTGGTGGTGATGGCTTCCTGTATCGTTCTTTCCCTTCGCTTCTCCGACAACGTTCGATCTCGCTGGTTCCGTTTCTCGTGATGTCGTAGGGGCTGAGAGGCGGATACGGCCCTGGCGTGACACATGATGCCACCCTCCTCACCGACCGCTTCAAGGATGTGGGTAGGCTTATTGGAGCTCGCATTTGCCTTCCAGTACTTGCGCTTTGATCTCTTGTATATGCGTGTCCAACACGTTCTTCAGCTCTGCAACAAACGTATCAAACGTCCTCTTATTTTTACTCTCTACACAGCGTATGTACATACAGTAGCAGACGAAAGAAAGCGTAGACTTAAAATCTGTATACGGAGATGAATTTCGGAAATCAGAGGTATGATTGTTGTACGCTTACGGTACATTAGATTCTCGTTATATTATATATCTCCTGCAGGCTACCATAGAGGAGTAGAAAATATAACGAGAGTCTACATCAATTTGCAGGCTAAAGTTTCGTGAAAATGGCATCGAAATGATAGAGTATCGTGGCACGCAACGGATTCACCGAGGAACCGAATGGAGGGTAGCGCTGTTTGATTTCTATCCACGGCTCGTTAACCCTTCATCGATCACGTCCTGCCGTGTCTGAGCACCGTCGCATTAATTCGTCACACAGCTACTCTCTTAACGTGTACCGTGAATTTGCAATTCTCCGTTACCTCAATTCCGTTCTACGATATCTCTGGCCACCCTTCGCTAAGAGCGCCACCAACCTATTAAATTCAATTAGTACCTGCTGCCATTAAATTCGAATTTTCCTAAATTCGAATTGACCCGATCGGAGACAATATAAGGTGAAGGATAACTGTACGTACTCGTGATCTCGTCCTCGTCTTCCGCTTCAGCCTCTGCAGCCAATTCCTCTGGCGTCTTTTTCTTACGCATCAAGGGATTGGGTTCTTCTTGGGTCATTTCCTGTACCTCTTCTCGCTTCTTTATGTTATACTGTAATCGAACAACGAGAAACGAGTTAGCAAACGGAAGCGAATCGTTCGTAGGAAAATAGCGTGCATTCTCCGTGCAGGATTTCTATCGAAATTACGTTATTTCCACGATTGAATTCGAGCTCGATTAACGCGTCACGTGGCAGCGTTCGCGATCGGCCTAGAAATTACAGGTAGCCGGTTAACGGAAGGCTGGTTTAATATTCGCCGATCGAGCATTTTGATCGATGCGTTTAGTATCAATAATGAAACAGGTCGCTCCATGGAATTAGTATATTACGGGCTGGAGCGTTGCTGTTGACTCGTTATACTTTGATAATGTAGTGTATGGTCGTCACTGTTATCGCGATAGATTAATTACGCGCAAATAATCGTTCGATCGATATCGTGTTCGGTGTCGATTTTTACGCGATTTGATCACGTCGGGACGTCCTTCGATTAATCAAGGCGATAAAGGAACCGGTACATAGATAATTTCGAGCATAGATGTTTCCTTAGGTGTCCACTATTCGACTTTTATCCAGACTTTCCTCCGTAGAACTTGGCTACTATAGCGTCGACCGTGACGCTATTCCCAAAACTTCGCTAACGAGGACGTGACAAAGTAACCGAGAACGACTCTTTCCCTCGAGCTGTAACGGTTACGGGGTTTTATGGAGGCGTTATCTTCCGATGTCTCGTGCTTAATGACCAAGAAGGATCACGAAAAGCACGAAGAGCACAGGAGCAAAGGTATCCATAGGAAGGGTTTAGCCATCGGAAGAATTCATTCGACTCTTCGCTTTTGACGAACCGTTAGTATAACAGGATTATAATCACGCCACAAAGTTTCGCGCTCTACCGGTTCGAGAATTACTAAACCGATCGTCGAATCTCGATCGAATTTCCAGAGGATTGTACGCCGTTTCTCGACAAGGACGCTTTGTCAAAAAATCCGATCGTATTCGTCGGATAAGACGAAGAAACGCGGCGCGGTATAATTCTCGCCGCAGCAAGCACCGAAATCGATGCAGTCAGATTACCGAAGAAACGTTTTCGAGCAATCGGCTTAAAACCCGACCGGTCAATCGCGTCTCTATCGTGCAAGCAAGTCCGACTGTATTAGCCGAGAGCTCGCCGCGCGAAGCTTCGTAATCGTATTAGCTGGACAATTTGAATCTCGGCCGGTATCGTCGAATCCGTCCGATCATTTGCAGGGTGGAAACGCGAGATCGCCACGTAACCGACGTAACCACTAACGTACGCCCGCCTCGTTGTTCCGTATTTACGGTAGATCGTCCAGTGACGGACCCCTCGCCGTTGCACGCGTTCGCCAAGCTTCGCCGTTGTCGTTGTAGCAGGATACATGCAGCCAGCAGTAGCTACGAGATGCTTTGTACCCACGGCACTCTTGTCGCCCAGACAATGAGCCCGATTGCGGTACAAGCCCCAGACACACGATCGGCTGCACGAGTGTCGCTGTCTGCCTCCATCGCGAGCCACCCATTGTAATCGACTACGCGCGTATTACCGCTATATCTGCAAACGCTATAAATTCTCTGTGCCAGCCATGTTCGTTTCGTTCTCGTTGTTGTTCCCGTTGTCGTCTCTCGGTTTCCCTTTTCCGCCTTTGCCCTGCCCTCTGTGTTTTGTTCCGACCCGGTATCATTCTTTTGTTCGCCAACCAGATGAACATTTCTATTCCAAGCTCGCTAGTCTACCTAATTGATACACGGAAATACGCATCGCTATAACGTTGCGTGATTAAACTTGTCGTTATTCGTGATCAGAGGGTTCGACAGGTTTCTCGTTTCGCTACGTATAGATCAGGATCACGACTTGAGATTACCTAGCTTTACGAATAACGTCCTACATAACTACTGAAGATATAAAGACACGTATGTCTAAAATAACTTCTTTACATCGAGGTCTACAAACTATACGCGAGTCGTGTTACCAAGATCCGCAGACCTTGATACGTCATAAAGCGTAAACATCCGCAGACTACTGAGAATTTTTTGTCCCAAAGATTGCCTAGAAACGTTGGACGGAGAAAAAAGGCTCTCGAGGTAGGTGGTACGCAAGCTGCATCAGCACGCGCGTCCTAGTCGCGTCGTATCCGCAAGCTACGTCGCACTGCGACATTTTTACCCGCTACCTTTTATATTCAAAGCTTCTTCTTATATGGACAGTTAGCTAAGCTCTGGAATGATTCGCGAGTTGCGATCGATCCCGCGACGAAAACACCCGGGTTATTCGATTCGTCGTTCGGTTGTAACGCGTGCACGTCTGCACGTAATGACGGTAATTTCGTAAGTGTTATCCGGCCCGTTGTGGTCGTCGATATTGTCTGGTTATCTTGTCGGAGGATTAGTGTTCGCACGGTTTCTGATTCTCGATCGATTTAATCGCATCGTCAATTACTTGTTAATTGTTCGTCGCTTGTCTTCGAGAAACGAGGATTTAGCACGGAACATTGATAATTATCGTAAAAGAATAGTACGAGTATAAGAAACGAGTCTTGTGCCAGATAAGCTTCGAATTCACGGGATTAACCCTTTGTACTTGCAACGAACCTCTTCGCCTTGGTTTTTAACACACAATGGACCTAACGATCGTACGCTTTGTAAACCGTAGTCCAGCAGTAAAGGGTTAATCGTTGCACGGCAATCGTGCTCTAGATCTACCAAATGAAATGCATTGAAAGCGTATTGAGAGAGTCTATAATTAAATTTAAATATGAGTCGACTAGAAACGCGAAACGTGTCACCGTCTTTGATAAATTAACGTCGTTGAAATTGATGGAAGTTCGAATTTCTTTGTTGGCAGCGTGCGTCGTTCGCGTGACTTATTTCGCGAAAGAATCTGGAGCACACACAGAACGTATTTCCCTCGAATTTTGTAACTCGCAAATTAACGTCCAACGTTCGAGTTTCAATTTGCGCCGAATCATGATTATTTTTCGCGATCAGCGAATATTTTCGTCGGTCGGCTGGGTCCCTCGGTAATTGAAATAAAAAAGGGGGGAGCAATATCCTTTCCCTTTAATTTTTCAGGCCGAAGAATAATTTATTTTTGTCCGACGTGACCGGCTAATAATTTCGAATCAATGCGTAATCGATGCGTCTCTCTTACAATATTTGATCAATCAGTTCGACGTAATTAATGAAATTTAATTAAACTTGATATGCCAATTACGTGAATTAATTTTCTAATTGGCCGTGCGCGTTCGCGATCGCGGCTGCATTAAAATCTGCAATTTCGCGAGCGCGAATTTATCGTTGCGGACGTTTATTGCATAGCGATTGAAAAGAACTGGCGGATGCTCGTTTTTCGTTTTAATCGCAAAATTATCGGTAGGCAGCGCTGTGGCGCCGTTAAATCCGCGATAGCTTCAAACGGATATCTTTTTTTAATTACGTGTCGGTACGGTAGCGTTATGGCTCGTCGATGTGTTTTAACTTGCTGAAATAGAGTTTATTTTAATTTACAGATCAGTTATATGCGGAATCGACGTCCGAACCTATTAATCCGCGAAAAAATATTCCAATTTAATTCTTACGGTATTCCCTTATTAAATTCGTTAATCCTATTTCCTGCGTGGAGAAAACGGTTGACGCTTTTCTCGCGATACAAATTGTAATACATGTAACTACGATAAATATGTATTACGCTCGTGGTGCATGTAGCAATCTACCAGGTCCTTTAGTCGTCGCGAAAATCAATTTTTCGCTTTATGCTACGGCTGAACGTGTTATCTTTATAGGATGATAATTTTTTCTCCCATAATCTTTATTTTATACGTCGTCTCGATAGGATCATTTACATAAACGAGTAATTCGCACACGCGATCGCAAAGAAAAATTAAATTTAGATACACTTACTTAACTACAGTATAAAGAGTATTATCGAGAACTAAAATAATCTATGGCATTCTTGATCGATACGATACATTCTTCTCTCCGGCAGTTTCTAACCTCTTGTTTACATTTCTTAAACAAAGAGAAAAAATCGAAAATGCTAACAAGCAATCGAGAGATGAATCGTAAGATAAAAAGTTATCATCTTTCTTGAGAATGTCAACTCGTTCTGTACATAACTTGGAATCACTATTGATTTCTCTTTCGCCGCGATAACCTACGATTTACAAACATGGTAAAATATGTATAACATCGCTGTTACTGTCACGAACGCTTTCACGATGGTCCGGTGAACGTCTTAAAAGGAGTCAGCCTGACTCTATTAGGAAGTCGCCATATTGAATGCAGGGACTCCCTACTAGAGTCAATTTGACCCCAGTTAAGTTCAATCTTCTCTCTTCTTTTTGCTTGTCCACGGGCTCCCTCTTCTTCTCTTTATCATTTTTTCTTTCTCTCCTCTCGAAGTTCCCTGTCTGGTAGCTGGTTGTTCCGCGCCATCATCCGTCTTGTTCTTGGTTCCCTTCCTTCTAACCCGTCTCTCTTCGTCAGCGTCACCTTTGACGGCCAACAGGGTATTCGTGCTAAACACAATATCGATCAGACGCCGGATTTTAATTATCGCGTCGAAACCTAATTAGCTCGACACGTAGCTCGGGTGTCTCGTTCGATCGAAGCTTCTGTTCGGGCTGCCGAACGATATTTAAGCGCGAGCTAGCCTAACGACGCTCGTGATCGATATTTGCCGATTATTATACTATCTGCTTTGCGACAATTTCGAAAAGTATACGATTTACGAGTTCACGATTTCACTATTCGAGGTACGAAGTTTATCGCTTACAATTGCCGGTGGTTTTCGCGGTGATGGTTTGTCAACGGTTTAAGATCGATACGAGCGAGTACGCATAAAAAAAGCTGGGAACGAATGTCGAGAAGGGCGCAAGAAACGCGTCTAGCAGGTGATTTAAAAGCAAGTTCCCACACCTGACTTTCCGTCAGTTTGATACGCGACCACCCTTCGTTCCCGTTTCTCCTGGTATTTCCATGCCATTTTATTGACACCAGTCAGTCCGTCGAAGAGACTACCAGAGAAGTTTCCCCGGGT